AACTGCCACCTCAAACACAGCCAGCTGCTCTCCCAGGTCCTTAAGGAATCCATACGCATGCTTACAGGGACTTGAATTGTAAATTCACATTTGGGTTAGCAGCCTGATTGGCAGTGGTTTTTTTCATTGAGATTGGAGGGAAAGCTGTATAACACGTGTGGACATTGTGTAGCCCTTAATTTGCAGGATTTATCTATGCCACATATTTGAACACTATTTTTCACATCTCGGAGGGCATGGTGCTGATTATAGCTTCTGCTTACATTGTTTGCAAAGTCACCATCAACATTATATCAGAAAGTGCGAGTATTCAAAACTGCTGAAGTGCAATAAATATTTTTAGTATAAAACAATCCTTTAGGTATTGTATTTTCCTGTTCAATTCAGCAGGGGGGAAAAAAAAAAAAAAAAAGTAGTTCTGGAACCAGCCTCTCCATCTGGCCTACTGGGCCTTTGATAGTGCAATTGTTTGTTCTGTCTGCTCTGGTTAGTAATTAAGTGCAAAAGCAAGCTACCTATTCCATGTGCTTAGTTGTGATTCTGCACAGTTTAGAGTCTGGCCCACATTTAGGTCAGAGGAATGCCCTTCACAGACAAGAGACAGCAATCATCTCTCAGATTTGCTTCATTTCACATTCAGAAAGCTTTCATTCGGAATAAATGTGCCTTCTGCATGAGTTTGGGTGAACAGACTCTATGGTTATCAGAAAACAGCAGCCAAAGAGAGGAAGCATCCATGCTGAAGGGCAGCACATTAAAGTCTCCCAAGAACCGAGAGGCTGCAGAGACTTGTGGCCCTGTTGAATCCCCAAGAACCCCCACACTCAGAATATCAGGACTCAGCCAGATCTGTACAGGGCCATCAGCACCTGCTAGCGTCAACAACAGGTTGTATAACCCTAACCGCGCCTACAAGGGCAGTAGCTATTATATGCAGACAAAAAGCACACGATTATATGTATATACACACCTAAAGAGACAACTGAACCGCTTGAGAGACTTTCTGGACACCTTCCCAAAAGCCACCGGTGGGCCAGTATGACCCCCTACTTCTGGGAGACCACTGGGTTGGCCTGCAACCCAGTAAAAATGACTGAGTGAGTGAGGGTGTGTGTGAACTGTGCGAGCAAATGAATGCATTGTGTGAATAGTTCTCTCTTATTAATAAAATGGATTCATTCTATTAATAATAGCAGTTGAATTAATAAAAGGTGTTCTAATATCAGTTGTGATCTGCATCTCACCCTGACTCAATCCTCTATCAATGAAAAAGGAACGTACAACAATACACGTAGATTAAACGAGCAGCACAAGTTTAGGATCACTATTTAAAAAAAACAAACCAAACCAAAAAATCCACAGATTTTTGAAGGCTCAGTTAAAGAAACACTTACAAGAGACAAAAATTAACTGTGTGTCAGTTGATTCAATGCCAAGTTCCCATGTGAGCTCTCAAATCATGGCAATCATCAAATGATTCAAGCCATCTGTCAGTACCCTCTGATAGTTAACCTCACAAATGACTTGTTCTTAGGTCTGAACCCTATGATCCTACTAGAATAAACTGGCAGAGAGTGATCTAAAAATATCAAGAATATAACCAAATACAACTGAAGATGTGGTTCTCTTTTAGAAATACTTTCAACATGTATCTCACACGAGAAATGGAACATGCGAGATGCATTTTTTCTTTCATATTCAGGGACCATACATGTCCCTTATAACATCCTTTCAGGAATTATACATTCCATAAGACTTTTATTCAAGCCACAAATGCTACATACTATTACAGTGTAGTGCTAATCAACTGTTGGGCCAAAGCAATAACAAAGTCTTTACTGTTCTGTAGGGTGGTTTGTGCTTCCTGTGATGGCAGTTCATGCAAGTCCTTCTATTTCTACAAACTTGTTCTTTAGATAGGCAGAACGCATGTGTGTCAAGACACAACAAAACAGCTCTTGCAGTTCTATAAAATTTCCCAGATACAGGTGAAGAACAAGATATTATTAAAAACCAAACCAAAACAAAACCTGTCTCAGAATAAAACTGGTTACAGCAGAAGGGAAGAAGGAGAATCAGGGCAAAAAAGCAATCCACACAAATAAAGAGAGATCCAAGATTTTCTATTCTTTCCTCTTGTTAAATATGCAGGGAGGACTAAAAAAATATTGTGTTTATTTTTATGTAATCTCTCTCTACTTGTGTTGGCCTGTCTCAAAGGAAAACAACCTGGAATCAGTATGGTCCCTTGGTGGTGCCTCAAGCATCCATGGAATGTATTCAAGTATTTTTTTCTTTAACAGCAGTAGCCCTGCCTTAGTAAACATCTTATGAAGAACTTCACAAATGTATTTTTCTTAGAAGAGGAGAAATGGGCATGTGAGGACCAACAAAACTTACTTTCTGCTTAATTTGATTATGACACATTAAAGCTGTCTAGAAAACCAGACAAAGCCTATTTCTTCTCTGTGCTAAAACAGAACTAAGCCAACACAGTTTCATCTGCTGCAAAATCTGAGAGCCTATATCAAAGACTCTGGATGCTTGTTAAATGAAGTTTTAAATTAATCTGAACTTGTTTCTGTGCATTTTGATGGGAAAGCCAAAAGCAGGCACAATCACCTTGGTCAAGTTCTGCACTAGTTTTCTGTATCGTATACTATCTACAACCTACCTTGATTTAACATAACAGGACAGTGCAGTGTGCCTTGTAAAGAATATAAGGTATTGCACTTCGTGCTTGATCACTTTAAAAGAAAGAGACTCTGCTCCCTTCCTTCTCAAGAACTAGCACAAAGTCAGGATACTTAGCGTAATTTCTAGGACCACACAAGGCACAGTATTGTCATTCCCAAAACTCAGCCATAATTTTTTTCTTGAGGCTTTTTCCAACATATCAGCAGTTTGGTTCTTTTTATTCTTTCTGTCAGCACTATGAATGTCACAGACTTTTAATCAAAAGCATAGTGCCACCTACTGTGCAGTATGAGTCACCCTGAAAACAAATAGAAATTTTTGCTGATTAACAGACACCTGAAACAAAGACACATGCTTCTGTAAATCCTAAACCCTGATACTACATAAATTTTATAGACTGAGATAATGGTGACTGCTACTAACCAGTTTAATTCAATGTGTAATATTTAAAATATCCATTTACAATACAAGTTTTTTCAAAGTGACAATAAAATTCTTTGGAGACTATGTACATTTATTAAAACTTACTCTAATCAGATGCACTGGAAAACTAAGAAAGAGCTCCTTTAACTGTGAATTTATTTTGAAAGCAAATTAATTCTTAACACTGGAAAAACAGCGTTTATAGCACTAGCCAAAGTTTCTGTGCCAAGTTTTAGAAGAAAAACTTGGCAGCCTGTCTTTGTAGCATTTACATGTAAATAAGTAACCACACCACAGCAACTTGTAAAAACATGATCACAAAAGGGCTCAGTTCTAGAAATACTCTAAATCTTTGAAAGAACTCTAAATCCTCTCTAAAAACAGTGTTCAGAAACAGCAAAATTACTAAGTCTGTAGCATTTTAAAAGTGTAAAGTCTGATGCATTGGGATATTGACAAAATATTTAATATAGTTACTTTTTTTAAAATTGAAGCTTCACAGTGCATACTGGCTTGAGAAATAATTCAAACCATTCCTATAAAAAATGGTATTAATTGTCACAAATGAAACCGAAGAATAATAAAATCCATTTATTTATTTTTTACATATATCTGTAAGCAGAGAGAAAAAATCAAAATGCTGTGAAGGAGTCCCACTCAAGATCATTGAATATGGTTGTAGGACCGTATGTTGGGAAACTACAGACAAGAGAGACTGCAATGCAGCAGGTTTTTTACAAGTATGTAGGTACATTACTGTATCTGAAATTTAAAACCACCAAAAGCTGACTGAAAGCAGTCACTAAACAACTTTGCATACACAAAATAAAACAGCAACAGCTAAGTAGTCTAGACTTAAGTCCTACTGCCCTTACTCACCCTGGCAGCTCATTACTTATTTGAAAAGTATTGGGTTCAACCCTAAAGGAGACAACAAAGCTGTATTCAGGCTCTGGCCTCTGTGACTCAGCTTGTGAGACTGCTATAAAGATCATAAAAAACAGTGAAATGACTGAGATATTTAGAAACCAATTACATCCCATCTGCAATGGATATGCTGACTCCATAAAAATAATATTTAATTCCCTAAAGGCAGGCCAACAAGAATCTTAAACAAACGAAGAGCATTTTATATAGAAGAAAGTCTTAGAGAAACACAAGAATGAAAAATTATAGTTACAGTTAGCCAAGAAATAACTTGATTACTCCTTGTCTTTCCACACCGGCTTAAAAAATGATAGAATAAGCAAAACCTTTTTTTCCTCCTTCTAAAAGAGCACAATCTTAGAATGACCGAAAACGCTTAATTGCTTATTAAAAGAACTGTATATGTTGCAATTGCGTTCCTGCTTGTGTTCCAGGCATAAACCCATTAGATTTTTTCAATGACATTAACTCAGAAGTTTGCACTTTTACAAAAGTGAAAAAGCTTTACAGTTAATACCCACAAAATTATTGCGTACACAGAAACAAGTAAGAAAGGTGAGTAATAATTCCATAAATAACTCTTCAATATTTTGTCATTTTGTTAAAGCCTTAAAAAATTTAAGCTAATGTAGATCACTATTACCTTTTAACAGAACTATCACAGATTACATGCTTTAACTAATAATTAATAAGATAAAGTGTGAAATAGTTTTGCATAAAATCAAAGATTTTATAAATACTTTCACAAGTGCTTTTTAAAAAATACTTGAAATTACTAGAACAACGTAACTGCCAAAAGAAAGTGGTTTTACATGCTACTGAAATTTGTGTTGCATGCTATACCACAAGAGATGCAAACTGATTTTTCAAATAGCAGCAGACAAAAAAAAGGCTAAATATATCATTAGCAAAACAGTCCTGTGGACACTGCTTGCATTTTTATTTATTTTTACCTTTATTGAAGAAGCTGCGTAGAGCATATCCTCAAGACTGAAATGGCAACACTGGTTAAGGTATTCCTGACAAAATTCTTGAATCAATTGTAGATTATACAGACTGTCAGCCAAAGACATCGTCTCTTTCAAACAAATATCTAAAAAGGAAGAATAGAAGCAAAGATTAGATTTGGTTACAGATTTGCAAAAAAAGTGCTCTTTGCTTTGCTGGATTCTGGAGCATTTTCTGGACCAATTCAGATTTGATTCTCTGCCCCCCTCCCCAGAAGGCTTTTATTTTTCTATTTCAGAAACTTAAGCAGTGACGACTCTACATTTTCTCTTTGCAGTTTTATATCTTTAGACATTTTCCTAAACATGAATTTTGTTTTTCCACTTTTGACAAGTTTATTTTTTTCTGCTTTGCCTTTTGTGAAAATGGAAGTTACGCTCTAACTCCTGCTATTTCCATATAAAAACCCCCATTTTTAATCACTAATATACATTTTTTTCAACTAGATTTTCTATCAGCAATAGCAGCAAGAAACATATGCTTTTTCACAAAGTTCTCCACACATACTAGTTCTTTGTCTTTGCATAGGGATCTGAGAGTACATTTTAATGCTATTAACCCCAAACCTTCCAAAAAAACCAGCATCAGTTCAGTCTTATGTATTATTTTTGTAGATTTACATGTTTGATATGAGATTTTACAAGGATCTGAAGCCTCTGATATATGAATTACTACTCTCTGTTTGAAAGTGCTATTTAAAGACAAAGCAGTGGTAGCAGTGAACAGACTAGTGTAGTTGTAGAGTATTCTCTGAATACTATTTACGCCCAGCTAACCACCTGTTTTCTTTTTGTGACTGCTTCTTGGAAAATTAAGCAGCAATAACAACTTTCAAAAAAAAAAAAGGGGGGG